TGGAGACATGTTTGAATGGATGGGGGATAGACAAAGTCTTCACCATATCGGTTGATAATGCTTCCTCCAATGATGGATGTATTAGCTACATGAAGAAGAGGTTAGAAAAGTGGAATTCACTCATAGGTGATGGTAGTTTGTTGCATGTGAGGTGTTGTGCACATATTACTAACTTGATTGTAACCGATGGAATGAAAGAAATTCATCAATCTATTGAGAGTATTCGTAATTGTGCTAAGTACATTAGAGGGTCATCCCAACGGTTAGAGAAGTTTAGGGCTTGTTTGGAGATGGAGAAGGTTGATACCAAAATCATGGTTCCTTTAGATGTGTGCACAAGATGGAATTCAACTTACATGATGTTGGAGAGTGCTTTGAAGCTCCAAAAAGGTTTTGAGAGGATGGAGGAGGATGACCCAAACTTTTTGGGTTACTTTGAGGAGTATGAAGCTCATGGTAAGGAAAAGAAGAAAAGAGTGGGGCCTCCAACTTTGTTGGATTGGGATAATACCAAGGTATTTGTCAAATTTTTGAAGAAGTTTTATGATGCTACTTTGAGATTTAGTGCCTCAAAACAAGTGTCTTCTAATGCCCCACTCCATGAGATGTGTTCTATTTTGGAGGAGATAGACACAATGATGAATGTTGATGATGTTGTTATGTGCAAAATAGCTACAATAATGAAGAGAAAGTTTGATAAATATTGGGGTAATATTAATAACATCAACAAGTTATTCTTTGTTGCGGTTATTCTAGATCCTCGATACAAGATGGAATATGTGGAATTTTGCTTGGGTAGGTGTCCGATGAAAATGGGGTTAATGACATGTTATTGAAGATCAAGACACTTTTACACAATTTGTATGATTATTATAGAAAGCAAAATCCAGCTGCTGCCCAAGTATTTCATAGTAATATAGAGAGTGAAGTCATGCATGTGAACAATGATGTTACTAAATCATCAAGGTTACAAAAGTTCTTGAAGTCAAGGAGAGATAAGGATGTTGAGATAAGAAATGAGATTGATAAATACCTATTGGAACCTCCCGTTAATCTTACCAATGATGAGTTCAAATTGCTTGATTGGTGGAAGGAGAATGGTACAAAATTTCCAATACTTTCTAATGTTGCAAAAGATGTATTTGCTGTCCAAGCATCAACCGTGGCTTCGGAATGTTCTTTTAGCACGGGAAAGAGAGTTGTAGATCCTTTTAGGAGTTTATTAACTCCAAAAACCGTGGAGGCATTGATTTGTTGTAGTGATTGGTTAAGGGCGGAGGAGTTTAACTACTACAAAGAACCCGCATTGGATGAGTTGGATTTCTATCAAGCTTTGGAACAATTGGAAAAAGGTTTTCTTTCATTTCTACATTAATCAAAATTTGAAGTTTCTTTGTGTTATTAATTCATTTCATATGTTTACTAACTGTTTTTTTTTTCTATGTGCAGAGGTGCAAATTTGATTTGAGGAGTTGAATTGAAACTCATGTAATTGTTCAATTGTATGTGTATATGTAATGAAAATTTATTTGTTTTGATTTGGATTTGCTTTTGAACTTTGCAAATATGCAGATTGGGATTGAGATTACTATCACAATCTGCAATGGTCTGTAATAATTGGACTTGTGGTGGATGTTGATTTTCTTTCTTAGGTTTTATTTTAAGGTATTTTTTTAGTATTTGAATGATGATAAACTTTAGATATGCAGAGCTGGAGAAACTTGAAGTTATAGTATATACAGGAAATTGGAGTATTTGAAATGGTATGGAAATATGACTTGAAACAAAAAAATGGCCCTAGGAAACTTTAAAAAAAAAACCTTAAATTGTTGCTTTTATTGGGCCTCGGCAGACATCCAAACCGACCCAACCCGACCTGCCTAATTCGGGTTTCGAACTAAGTCGAAAATGGGCTTATAGAACAGGTGCAAAGTTTACATTTGGGCCTATCGACATGGCTCATTTAGGCGTACGGTTTGGGCTCATAACCGACCCAACCCGACCTGTGCCCATCCCTAAGTTTTTCTATAGCCAATACTGATCCATATAAAGAAATCTTCATTATTTGAAGGAAGAGGCCTTACCCTCTATTGGAATCTTCATTAAGAATTTCAAGCAAATTGTCGACGCCGTTATATTGAATTCCGGTGACCATCCCCGCTGGTTTTGATAACGTCACCTGGAGAATCCCATTATCCATCACCACCTGCCCGAATAATTCATTAATTAAGCTATCATATTATGACGCTAACAAAAACGACGTCGTCTCGTCAGTCAAAAGTGTACCAAAAATGCTTACATCTTGTTCACGGATATGCAACTGCAGGCCTGTGATATTTTGTGCAGCAGCGGCTGGGAAAGTCACGGCTTGGAATAAGAGAATGATGAAACACAACTTCACCGAAAGCCATGTTTTCGAGACGAAAAAACGTTGCCTTTTGGTCCCCTTCCTGATCTGACATGAAAGGACCACATGTGATGTGAACCGTGAAACCAAGGTCGAGATCAGGAATGTTGAAATATTGGCCAAGTTTCCGTGAATATGGAACAAAAGAATATAAATAAATTAAAATATAATAATATTGTCTTGTGATTTCTTCACTTTGTCGCCACCAATTTGTGTGTTTGGTGAACCAGACGGGCATGCACTAGTCGTTGGTGGAGAAAAGTATATATGTATATTTGTGAAGCGACCTATGATAAAAAGGTTCATTTGAAAAACTTAACTTGTTTTGTAGTATATTAGAGGAAACTTCACATGTTCGCTGCATGCGTTGGCTTGTCGGCAATGGGTCTTCAATTAGGGTGTGGTATGACAAGTGGATCCCTAGGCCTTCCTCCTTCCAAGTTCTCTCCCCCCCCTCCCCACGACTCCTTCCGTGATCTTAGAGTGGATGCCCTCATTGAGGCTGATGGAAATTGGAACCTTCGACTTCTTCATGAGCTTTTCCCGATGGGTGAGGTGGAGGCAATTAGTTCGATCCCCTTGAGTTTTCGTAAACCTCAGGATCGTCGTATTTGGCACCATGATCCAAAAGGCTATTTCACTATTCGTAGTGCTTACGGGGTAGCTCGTGATTGGCTTCAAGGTGGGGAGGATGCCCTCCCATTTTCCTATTGTTGTTGAGACTGATAAGAAGTTTTGGTCAGCGATTTGGCATGCCAAGATCCCTCCTAAAGTTAAAATTGTTAAAGTAATCTAGACTTCATTAATAGTCGGCTGGTAACTTTGAAATAGTTGGCAGTTTGTTAGTAGTTGTGTGTTAAAATAATGGTGTGGTAGAAGTTAGTTGAATTAACTATATTTGATTTTAGTTGTGTTTTTAATGTGCTAGGTCGGTAGTGGCTATTATATAAAGCCACCCTTTTCTCTTCATTTGTATCAAGGAAGGAACATTATCATATCTAAAATAGCTTTCCACTACTTTCTGTCTGTTGAGTTTCACAAGAGAACAAGTTTCTTCTCTTACCTATTATTACTCCCACATAACCGTACCCACCACCAATAATATCATTCCTTTATTCCATCAAAGTGGTATCAGAGCTGTAAACTCAGAACCATATGGCTTCAAACAACAACTTGTTGCAGCCCCAGCTTCCAAAGTTTACAGGGAAGAATTATAGTCAATGGAGCATCCAAATGAAGGTGCTGTATGCTGCTCAAGATTTGTGGGAGGTGGTTGAAAATGGCTTTGTGGAGCCAAATGATCAAGCAGACCTCACTCAACAACAACTCACAGAGCTGAAGGAGACACGTAAGAAGGACAAAAAGGCTTTATTCTTTATCTTTCAAGCAGTGGATGAAGCTATTTTTGAAAGAATCTCATCATGCACTACATCAAAACAGGCGTGGGACACTCTCTTTGCATCATATAAAGGAGAAGAAAAAGTGAAGATGGCAAGACTGCAAACTCTAAGAGGTGAGTTTGATATGTTACGTATGAAGGAGTCAGAATCTGTTGAAGACTATTTCAATCGTGTCATTTCTCTAGTCAACCAACTGAGAATTAATGGAGAAAAAATTGAAGATCAGAGAGTTGCTGAAAAAATTCTTCGAAGTATGTCCCGAAAGTTTGAATATATTGTGGTGGCAATTGAAGAATCCAAAGATCTGTCTACTTTGTCTCTTGACAGTTTAATGGGTTCTCTTCAATCCCATGAGTTACGACTGAAGCAGTTTGACTCTGGCCCTGTTGAGCAAGCTTTTCAATCTCAAGTCTCATTCAGAGGAAGTTCTAGAAGAGGAGGAGGCGGCTTTGCTCGTGGACGAGGAAGAAATAATCAAGGACGTGGCTATACAAATGACCAGAAAGAAACTAATGATGAAGGCTCTGCACGAGATTACGGTTATCCAAGAGGAAGACGAGATTATGGTTATCAAAGAGGAAGAGGAGATTATGGTTTTCCAAGAGGAAGAGGAGATTATGGTGGTTATTCAAGAGGAAGAGGAAGAGGAAGAGAACAAGGTTCCTCTCTTTCTAATATTCAGTGCTACAATTGCAAGCAATATGGGCACTTCAAGTCAACATGCAAAAACAAAACAAATGCAGGAGCTGAATCAAGCTTTGTGCACGAAAAAGCTTTTGAAAGGGAAAGTGATAATGTGGTTCTACTTGCATATGCAGCTGCCAGGGAAGGAAACGTGTGTGCAGAAAAATGCTATCTTGATAGCGGATGTGGTAATCACATGACAGGCAACAAAAGTGCCTTTGTCAATTTCAAGCATACCAACAACTCAGAAGTGAGGATTGGTGATGGTGGAAAGCTAGTGGCCAAAGGATGTGGAGATATTCTTTTTCTGTCCAAGTCTGGAGAACAAAAAAGAATCTCTGATGTGTTATATGTTCCAGATTTAAATTACAATCTCCTTAGTGTGGGGCAACTTCTTCGTAAAGGCCATAATATTCAGTTCAGGGAAGACCAGTGTGTAATTAGAGACAAGTACAACTCTCTAATTACAAAGGTGCAGATGTCAGGAGACAATATGTTTTCTCTGAACATAAAGTATGAATCTTTTGCTTGCTTAAGTGCACTTATCAAGGATTCCTCATGGTTGTGGCATCTACGCTATGGGCATTTGAGTTTCAGCACACTATCATTGATGGGGAAACAACGTATGGTACGAGGCCTACCAACTATACAGCATCAAACACAAGTTTGTGAAGCATGTGTGCTGGGAAAACATCAGAGAAATTCGTTTCCTACAGGAAATTCTTGGAGAGCATCCCATCCTCTTGAGCTGGTGCACTCAGATGTATGCGGGCCCATGAACACAACATCAACAGGAGGTAACCGCTACTTTCTTACATTCATTGATGATTATAGCAGAAAGACATGGGTCTATTTTCTCAAATATAAATCAGAGGTGTTTGATTACTTTAAAGTTTTCAAAGCTTTGGCTGAGAAGCAAAGTGGATTTGCATCGAAAACCTTGCGGTCTGATCAAGGTGGAGAATTCTCATCCAATGTGTTCGAGAATTTTCTAAAAGAAAATGGGATTAAGCATCAGTTCACAGCTCGGTACACTCCACAGCAAAATGGTGTGGCCGAGAGAAAAAATAGGACCATTATGGAATTGGCAAGAAGCATGTTGAAGGCAAAAGCAATGCCTAATCGTTTTTGGGCAGAAGCAGTGGCATGTGCTGTATATCTCTTGAACTGTGCATCGTCCAATAGTGTGGAAGGCAAGACTCCTCAAGAGGCTTGGAGTGGCCTCAAGCCATGTATTAGTCACTTAAGGATATTTGGCAGCATTGCTTATTCTCATATTCCTGATGAAACAAGGAGAAAATTGGATGACAAATCAGAAAAGTGCATTCTTGTTGGGTATAGCGAAAAGGCCAAGGCATATAAGTTGTTTAATCCATTGACTAACAAGATTATTGTTAGTCGTGATGTCAAGTTCAATGAAGAAGAAGCATGGAATTGGAGTGAAGTTGAAAAACAAAGTCCAATACTGTTGGACATTGAATATGAAAATCCAGATTTAATTCCACCAACAACTCCATCATCACAAGAATCTTCATCACAAGGGTCATCATCATCATCTTCTAGTGATAGCAGTGAGGAAGAAGAAATTTGCAGAGGACAAAGGAGATCAACAAGAGCTCATCAACCATCCACAAGGTACCCATCTAGTGATTATGTTTTGATCACTAATGGTGGCACAAATTTTGCTCTATTTGTAGATGCAGACCCAATTATGTTTGAAGAGGCTTCAAAGGATGAAAAATGGGTGAAGGCTATGGATCAAGAAATTGATTCCATTAAGAAAAATGACACATGGGAGCTGGTTGATCTTCCTCAAGGAAAGAAGCCTATAGGAGTAAAATGGGTTTATAAGACCAAGTTGAATGCTCAAGGAGAAGTTGAGAAATACAAAGCTCGCTTGGTAGCTAAAGGCTACAAGCAAAATTATGGAATTGATTACAATGAAGTCTTTGTTAAGCTCATAATTTCATACATATACATGCCCAATTTACTTACTTCTTTTGCTTAGTTTCCTATAATTCTGAGTTATTTGCCTCTATTTGTGTGTTTTGTAGGCCAATAGAGCAAGAGAGCATAATTCATGCAATTCAAGCATGTTAAGGCCTAATTTGGATGAATGGAAGAAGAGCTTAAAGACAAACTCATTTTTCCTACAGTCCAGTTTCGTGGGTCACATTGCAAGATCTTTTTCAGCAACCTACACAGCTCGGATGAGGCCGCATTCTTCATGAAAGTTGTTCCAATGGGTGTGTACTATAACATATCCAACATTCAGCCCCATTGGATAACTCTGGAGTCCGTAACCTAGCAAACACTGAACCATGCTCAGGATGGATTTTTGTCAGCGAGCAAAACGAGTTAGCAATTTGTTTCGGCCTTAACTTCCTCCTCCGAGC